ACAATCAATTTTTTTTATAAAAATGACCATTTGGGATGAATCATTATTTTATGGGTTATAAGGAAATATAATCTATGACATACCATTTTGCCTTCATTAGTTTCAATACAGTGTGAATTCTCTAATAATACTCTTACACTGACAAGAGATGCTAAACCACTTCCAGGCTAATTAGTGAAATCTTTGTACCTCTGTTGCATACCAGATACCCCATGGTGCTGCAGAACTATTTTTACTTTGCTAATTTATGACAAGTATCAAATAAAATAAGGAATTGTTCCAACAAACAAATTGTACAACATGTTGCTTATTCTCAAGGTACAGTTTAATGTTTAGATACTAGCACTTGATAGAAATTTTTCAAGAACATCATCTTCCTGGGCTTTGGATAGTTAAATATAAAGTCATTTAAAGATTCAATACAAGAATATATTTATTTGCTTGAAGAATCGAATAACTAATCATCTAGCTAATTCCTGAGGTTAATAAGGCTTTCAGCTGAACTTGTCTTGACTGATTTTTTTTTTTTTTTTTTTGTAACGCCACATCCAAGAATCGTTAAGCCTTTCACTTAACCATGAAAAGTGCTAGGACTAACAATTTTCTTGCCCAGCAAGGAGTTTCTTCCAGACTTTGCCATCTGGAAATTGGTGTTTCTTTACAGACTCTTCTTTCATTTCTGTTGAATAGCCAGGATCCTAGCAGAGACCAAAAAAAAAAAAAAAAGGAGCAGTATTAATAACCACCTAGAACAAAACATTTATTTTAGTATTTCTGCTGCTCCCAGAAATGCTTTCAAAGCTAAGCCAAAGGGAACTGAACTCTTTTAAAAATAAGTTTTCAAATTATTTTAGATGGGGGAGGGGCTACTTCCCCGTACTAATTATTTGAATAGGAAATTCATGGATTTTCTTCCTTTGATAGCTCAACCTCTGTTGATGAAAATGACCCATGACTCTGCAACATTATCAGGATAAATGATCCAAATAGCACAACTGTAGTCAAAATCTTTTAGAGCTCACTAACTTGCTACAGGGGGCCAGCTTTGGTTTGGTTTTACATAAGACTGCCTGTTTTAAGGTCTTAGCTCATAAGAAAGATGCATTAAAGAAGCCTTATCAGGGGGCAATTTAACTTCCCAGCCCTGGCCCCCAGACTACAGGAATTTGATAGCAACTAATACTGTTTCAAGACAATGGAAATAAACTCTAATTTACTCGTTCATGGGGCTGAATAGGTGAGGGCTGGCACTGATGGCTCTGGGGCTGCCCAGGCCAGGTCCTACCTTAGGTGGCATGTACGATGCCTTCTTGATTATCACAGGATACTTGAAGTGTTCATGTAGGTGGTCAACATATTCACACATCCTAGAAGGAAAGAATCAGACTGGGACGGTAATACCTTAAATTAAATCATTCACATGGTAGAGTGAAAGCAGGGGTGGGACTCCCACTGTGAAGACTCAAGACTCAGCTGTGAGACCACGTGTGTCTGCTAATCTCTTAACTGATGTGCCGCAGGTTATGAGGAAGGCTTTGATGAACCAGGAAGTCTCTTAACTCTAAAGGTTTTATGACCCCCAAAAAGTACCAGTTTAGACTGCATCATACACTTAAAATGGCTAAGTTGCCAGATTCTTTGTTATATATATTTTACCACAATTTTTTTGTAAATGACCATTTGGGATAAATCATTTTATGGGTTATAAGGAAATATAATCTATAATTCTGGGACTCCAGAATATGTGGGTGCATTTACCTAGAAGTTAGATTAATAGATTAAAAATCACCAAATGCAGTTTCTTCTAGCTTTACTAATGATTTGGAACATTAAGAGCATAGATTATAGAATTAGACTGATCTGTGCTCAGATTCTATGCCAGCTTCATTCTAGTTTTAGGGCCTTGGGCAAGTGAACGAACTCTCCTGCCTGAATTTAGTCATCTGTAAAGGAAGACCTATGACATGAAGGCTGGGTGCCAGGTGCTGGGGAAATACAGGAATTGGCATGCTTTAATAGGACACGGATATCAAGTCATATGTCATGTGCTCTGTACAATTGATAAGAGGGTTAAAAAGAACTCACTGCCATCGAGTCACATCTGACTCAGAGACCCCTCCTGGGTTTCAAGGTGGTATCACTACGGAAGTAGATTTCCCAATCTTCCTTCCGAGGAGTGGCTGGTGGGTTTGAACCGCCAGCCTTCTGGTTAGCAGTCAAACGCCCTAGGCACTATGCCAGAGCTCCTAAAGAAGAGGGTACAAATGAAGAAACACCAAAAGGGAGAGAGATCAGTTGGACTTTGAAAGGTGAGTGGGGAATGCTGTTGCACACAGAATGTCAAAGTGTGTGTGTTGCAGCGTGACAGCCCATGTCTGTGTGTCATGTACAGGGCACACCTGTACAGCAGAGTCTCCAGTGGGCACAGGGCCTGCCCAACCATTCAGTGGGTGGTGGAGGCACTAAGGCTAAGAGGGACTGTCTTTTCTTCAGCCCTCAAGACATGTAGACCCTTTCAAGGTTGTTTGGAACCTCCCTTTAGTCTAAAAGCAGAAACTGAAATGAAAAGGGGCAAAAGCAGACTAACCTAGGAATGTGCTTATTATTATGCTTATTATAGAATCAGAGACTATTATTTGCAGTAAGAAAAAGAAATGATCTAGTCCCAACCTTCATTTTCCACATGAACAGGTTCAGACTCATGTAAAATCTCATAACCAGCAGCTTCATGACTCAAACTCAGTTCTTATTTCTAACTTAATGTTCTTAGTCTATAGTATAAAATATTTCAGACATATTAAAGAGCAATACCTGATTACTCACCCCAGCTTAAGAAATAAACCATTACAATTATAATTGCAGTGCCCTGCACACTCTTATGAACCCCATTTCTCATAAGTCTTTCCCATGCATGTTTTTACACTTACACTGTGTACATTAGTGATCTTTCTACAATACCACGTTTAGTTCCAGGAGCAAAGAAAAGCATAATAAGCAAAGCCATATTTGTCAGGTGACTAGAAGGTGACTGTCCAGATTTAAAAAGAAAGCTTATCTGGGTCATATTGAGAAAGAAGATAGCACCCCATAAGGATGTAGCCGTATGTTGGGAGACTTCAGTGTCAGAGGAGAGGCAGCATAAGCTGAGAATGAATGAATGAAAACAGGGCATTGGAAAGTCAGAAATAGAAGCTGGTTTGAGAGAGGAGTTCTGGCTTCCATCTGGTTGCAAACCTCTCACTTCCCAAAGTATACAAATCAAAATGAACCAGCTACCAAGATCCCATAGCCCTTAATGAAAAAATGAGTACTCACTGGAGGTTCTCTGCTCCATGTGGAGAAGGAGGAGCAAAACCCCCTCAGCCTTTGCTTATGGATGTGCATAGTAGGTAGAGGTCTTAGTGTCTTGGTGTCAGCACTGGAGAAGCTCTGGCCCGGACCAACGGACACTACTTAAGCTGAAAAGATTCTTAGCCAATGCCTCATTGTTGTTTTTGTTAGTTGCTGTCAAGTCGGATCCAACTCATGGTGACCTTATATGCAAATGAATAAAACACGGCCTGGTCTTGTGCCATCCTCACAACTGTTGGTAAATGCTACATTACTGACCTGTTTTCAAGGCTTGCAGAGACAGATATGTAGTCAAATATAATCAGGTGCTGTACCAAT